CTACAATGAATTTGGTAGAACGATATGCAATACAAATTATTAAAGTTCCTCTGGTATAATAATTTATCTATATGAAAAATATTTTGGGGGGGTCACGACCCCTCTGACCCCCCCTGGGACCGCCCTTGTAGTAAGCCGTCCTTTGCACCCCAACCAACACGCCAGAAGGGAAAGTCATGGGAAACAGCCCTGAATCCGCTGGTTTGCAAGATTGAAAATGCTATCTCGAATAAGGAAATAGCAGTGGCTGCATTTCTTGATATAGGAGGAGCTTTTGACAACACTAGTACTCGCTCTATTGTATCAAAGCTGGTATCAAGAAATGTGTAAAGCACTGTTGTGAGCTGGGTAGGCAACATGCTCGAAAGTAGGAGAGCGCAAGCTTCTATGTGTGGGACGGTGAGAGAGGTCTAGGCCCAAAGAGGGTGTTCACAGGGTGGCGTCTTGTCACCGAATATATGGAATTTAATGGTCGACGATCTCCTGTCTTGAGCTCAATGCACAGGGCATGTACGCTCAAGGATATGCTGACGACATTGTTGTCCTAATAAGAGGAAAATTTAAGAACACTTGCCTGGAACTCATGCAGAGGGCATTGTCTATAGTGGAATGGTGGTGTAACCAGAAAGGTCTGAGGGCCAATCCAATGAAGACCGTAATTGTAACATTTACAAGGAAGAGAAATCTTGATATCGCTAGAATACCAACTCTCTTTGGTAATTAGATCTAGAGGTTAAGAGGGAGTTCAAGTACCTAGGAATAAGGCTGGATGACAAGCTCACCTGTAACAACCATTTGGCACATGTAACGCAATGCTCTCAGACTACACTTATGATGATGAGACGGGCTGTTGGGAAGACCTGGGGTCTAACGCCACAAATTACTATACACTAGGGTTGCAAAGACCAATGATGGTGTATCAAATCAAATCAAATCAAACATCATTTATTCCATGAATAAAAAGTACAAACAGATATTCTAACAAAAATGGATCCTCCCCACATAGGTGAAGCTTGTGCGTGGGGAACGAGTCAATCAGTCCATTCATATTCTACAATCTTGGTATGGCTTGGTGGTCTGGTGGTCCAAGGTAATGCAAACTACCGCTGTAAAGAGACTACAAAAGATCCAGTGAGTGGCATGCATCATAGGAGCCATGAGAGGCACTCCAACTGCAGCCCTAAAAGTAGTGCTAAACCTGCACCCTCTCGACACCATTGTAAAAGGGGAGGCAAGGATGGACCTTAGAAGTGATACCAGACAGGATGGTGAAGATGACAGATCTAGAAAAGCATTGTTGACAGGGCTGCCTGCGATAAAGGTAAACCTGAATACATGAAAAGGGGGATCACTTGGTATACGGATGGCTCGGATGTGCATGAAAATGTTTAAATTCAGTACCATCCAATAGTATAGAGGGAACACGTAAATTACAACCCGTGGGGCCTGGGTTGCAAACTAGTAACCCAAAAACTCAGCACCCGCTCTCCACATTCTATCATGGAAATCATGGTGGGGATTAAAGTGGGAGTAAATCTGTAAGTCGTCAGCATACAGATTTACTCCCACTTTAATGTAGAGGAGATGGATACTGCTGTGGGACTCATGAACATTGACATTGAATCAATAACTCACTGGGTTACAAACAACGGACTTAAACTCAACATTGACAAAACTCAAGCAATGATTGTTGGCTACCCCAGACTAATGACTAAAATAAACTTACTCACTGCACCAAGACTTAGCTTTGACGGAAAAGATCTTACCTACTGCAACAAAGTGAGAAACTTAATACTCACAATGAACAAACATTTGAATTGTTCTCACCAAGCAAATTCCACTTGTAACAGGGTTTTTGTGGCTATTCACACCATCAAACGTTTCGCAGAATACCTTCCACTGAACTTGAAAATCATGTTAGTAAAAACTCTCATCTTGACTCATTTTAACTAGCCTACTGTAATGTAGTGATCAATGACATGACTAATGAAGTTTCTAGCAGACTTCAGCGAGCGCAGAATTCCTGTATCAGATTCATATTAGGCCTTAGACGATATGACCATGCCACTCCCTATTTCAACCTGCTTTTATTAATGAGACTAAATGAACTTCGGGAATTTCACACCCTTCCTTATACACTCCATTATCAAATCAATAGTAAAATTCCTAAGTAATCATCGGATAACTTCTATTTTATTTCTGACATCAGCACCACTCGTAGAGATTCTCTTCTTTTATCTACACCAATTCACCGGTCAACAGTGTTTAATAAATCTTTCTTAGTATCTGCAATTCAAATGTGGAATTTTCTTCCTGACCACATAAAATCCATAGAGAACCGTGCAAGGTTTGGGGCAGACATAAAATCTATTATTTTGAGCAGCAGGCAAGAGTGAGTCTCTGGCGCTGGTGTGGTGGGTTGTTGGCGGCTTGTGGGAATGGACTTTTTAGGATTAGTAAATTTAATTTCATCATGTTTATAATATGGTACTTTAGATTATTTAATTTTATTTATAAAGTGGATAGTTTTGTTCATGTTTTAGAGGTTAAGTGGTAGAGAGGACTTGCTAGTCCTAACTTCTCCTCTTAAAGGCATTTTTCATTTCATTTCATGGAGGGGGCTAGTATGTAGAGGGTTGTCAAATCCCTTTTTCCGGCTCATACGCTGCACTCACTGTGTGAGTTTGGGGTGATGGACGGTGTCCCACAATTCACTCATGAGGAGCAGGAGACAGCCGTTCTATCCCTAAAAAACAACAAGGCTTCTGGACCTGATTTTGGGGTACCTGGCGAGGCTCTTAAGAAGGTTTTTTCAATCAATCCCCTGATTCTTCTGGGCACGTACAATATCTGCTTGGCAGAGGGGGGATTTCTGTTGTGCTGGAAAACGACTAGGCCTAGGCTCGTGCTCGTATGGAAGGGGAAAGGAGACCCAGAACTGCCGTCCTCTTACAGACCCCTTTGTATGTTAGAAACGGCTGGGAAAGTCCTACAGAAGTCGATCCATTCCGAACTGAATTCAGCCGTGGTTGCTGCAGGGGACCTAAGCCCTCATCAGTACGGTTTCAGGAAGGGACGATCAACAGTCAACGCTATTGCAGGGGTGAAGCAAGCCGTGATGAGAGCTGAGGATTTTAACCACTACTCTCATTGGGTTGTGCTGCTTGTAAAATCTTATCTTATGTAAAATCAATATATTAATTTAGTTTTCAAAAGAAGGGAGATGTAGTAATGTTTTTATATAGTATATGATCAACTCTGACTTGTAAGTTTCTTATTACTTCATGTATTGGGCCGTTGGCTCTTTCTCAGAATATACCAAGATGTCGAGCAACCAAGATGTGTCTTTTAATTAAAGCCCTACAAGTCCGACCAGCCTTAGTTCAGTATGTTTAGTTTTTAATTTTAATGTAGCCTTATGATTATGAAAATATTGTTGACACAATTCTATGTACTAATTTCATGTACAATAATGAAATAAAGGATGTTTGAATTGAATTGAATATATATATTTTTTATGTCTTGTGTATTTTAAAAAGAACGTAAACACTTTGTCTTCCCACATTGATATCCATAGTTATAAGACCAGAAACTGCGCTAAACTTTGAAATTATTACTGTACTTATAGTATTACTCAAAATAGCTTTAAATATTCCTCGATTAAGTTATTCAAATGTTACCATTAGATAAATTTCAAATAGTTGTTAAGAATGTGTTATTGAAATACTGTTTTTATGACCTAGAAGAATATTTTGATAATTGTTTTGACGTATAAAATGTTTTAATAATTTATTGTTCACTATATTGATGTAGCCTATAGAGCATTGTATGATTTTTGTACATTGGTGTCTTGGAAGATTGAATTGATTTGATTAATCTCAAAATTAGGACAAACCCCATCCATTATTAGAAACTAAATAACAATGTACACAATATGTGAAAAAAACATCCTCCCACTGACTATAAATAGCAAAAGGCGCCAAAAGAAAACTGACACTGCAGCAGTTTGAGGTTAGGTTTCTTGCACAATGATACATTACACTGAACGTTCTCAGGGCAATGCTAGTCAGCTGCTGACAAATGTATATTTAGACGACAAAGGCATGGATACTACTGCACGCTGCACTTATGGTGTGCACAAACTCCCACCAGCAGCACCCATGGTGTAAAAGAAAAGATTTAGTTGGTAACAAAATTTAAAATTTCATAAAATTGTTTTCAAACATCATATCTTAAACCAAACAATATATAGTATACCCTCCTTTAACCGTTTGTTTATCTATTTATTTAACATCATAACATTACATAAATTCTCTTGACAGGGGATTTGTCATCCAGAAAACAGAACAGAAAACAGAGGTTGGTTTCTCCACAAATAGTTTAAAAACTGGTTGGTTTGACAGACCTTACATTTCCACAGTAATGAAATAACATATGTGACCATGCCTGTAGAGTTTGTAATGAACCACACAGAAATTAGGCCTACAGTAAAAAAATCACAGACATTTTTAGAGTATAATTAATTGTACAAACTAAATGTGTAAAAATTTTAATTCAATAATAGGTGTGTATCTACACATAAATACGGTAATAATAATTATCATCATGGTTAAAATTTGACTTTGTGTCGGTTTTTCTAATAAAGTACTCCTATTTTCAAGAGTAAATTGTGCAGCAGTACAGAAGAAGGAGATTTTCATTGTTCCTGCCTGGTATGTAAGTACACAATCAGTACAAATTTGTCATTGTAATTTCAGTACTGCATAGGTCATGTTTAGGCCTATAGGTAAACATTGCCCAACTAAGCATTGACAAATAAAGTTCAGTTTTTCATTTGTATGATACCAGTAAGACATTTATTTCTACAGTATTTTACATATATTTACATAGTTACTAGGTTTATCTGATCATTTAGGTTATCTGATCTAGGCTCGGTCCCACAAACATCGGACTAGAGAGGGTGTACTGTACTTTATATTTAAAAATAATAAAAAACTTACTTGACTGTGTATCACTGTCTTTTTCTTCTTGTTCCCTGAGTTTTGCAAACAGAAGAAGCCTCTGAAAAAGAATGTGATTTAAGTATAGAGAAAAAAAATTTAATAATTACAGCAACTTCAATCATAATCTTTTCAGATGTGTAAGAAATGTGGAGCTCAAACCTCCACAATATTTTGAATGTCCCGCAAAGAAGGCTTTGTACAACCTAGGACTGTGCTCGCGCATGCACAGCCGGACATCAGGTGAGTACAGTCTGCCATGATTTGTCTTGCAGCCGCCTTCAGACAGTCAAGATGATCCACCACTAGACGTCAGGGTTTTGAGGGTAAGGCACCATGTAAGGTACAGTGTTAGATGTAGTCACACTTAATTTCAGTAATTAATTCTTTACAGCCTCTATAGTTAACAATGCTTATTTTTAATCTCCTGTCAACATTTCCGTAAGAATATTTAGATCAATGAATAGTTTACGTTGTGTACAGTCACTTGTTCTGTAATAATTGTATAGATTGAATGATAATACCTTTTCTATAGTAAATGGTTTAGTAAATATTCAATTTCTCTTGATAGACCATTTAAAATGAGGTCACATGATAGGTGTTTATATTTGAAAATTTGGGGCTGCCCCAAAAATACCCAATTTTGGGGGCTAGGGCAAAGTTGTAACTTTGATGAAAAAGTGCAATTTCTTATGTTGTAAATATGTGCCGAGTTTGGTTTTCCTACTGCAATGCGTTAAAAAGTTAACTGGGGGGTTCCAAACTTTTGCCTAACCCTGTACATATATATATATATATATATATATCTATGTGTGTGTCCGTCCGGACGATAACTTGAGTAATTTTTGTCTGATTTTGATGAAATTTGGTTTGAAGGTGTAAGGCGGTATAAACTTGAATGAGTTCACGAACTCTATATATAGATCTATATATAGATATGTATATACATATATCAAAATTTGAACGGATGTTGTTTTGGCCTTTGGGGACATCAAAATGAAAAAGTAAATCGGTCCCGGGCCTAGGTCTTACCATGAAACCTACGGTTATAGCTACTTCCCTATAGGGAAATTCACTAAAAACAATTTTACAGAACATTTAGTTTTAATTAGGTTAATGAATATTTGACATTTCTTTGAAGATTTTTAACTCAATATGTTAAAGTACTCATGTAAGTAAAAAAAAATATATATTTAAACATTAGTCTGTTGTGTATTCATTTATTAAAATCCATTAAAAATGTCAATGTACTGGATAACTTGACAACCTCCAAACTCGACAACCTCTGGGTCCATAAATCGTTGAGTTAGTGAGGTTTTACTGTATTACATTTACTCTGTAAACATTTACAAGGGAGACAATAACAATAAACAAAATATATTTCAATGGTGATCGGTTTTGACCGTTCACAACAGTGTTGGAAGCCCTATTTTACTACGGTATAACCTTATGGAATTACAAAATTCAACAATAATTTCACCTCATATTTCTGAAATATCTACAGAACAAGTTTCTGCTAATAATATTGGTGTTTTTATTAGAAAAAGTAAAATTCCACTTATTATCCTTATGGCTGCTTAGAAACAAAAAATCTGGGATGAATTCAAATTTATGTTTTATTAATTTTAATGCTACTTAGCTTGGCTCTTGGAGAATTTCAAATCTATGACCTTTAAAAAAAACTTGATGGGCTACTTAATTGAGAACCCGAACAACAAATTGAGAACAATTGAGAAGGTTGGATCAATTTTCAGTTAGGCTATGCAATATGTTTCTTAGATGTTAAAAAATGTGTTTGGTTATTATTACTTATTACTTTTAAGACTGTTATTTAGTTTTAAGAAAGGGCTATTTTAAAAGAAGATGACGAAGCACCTGTTCATTTACCTGTAAACTCTGTCCGTTATGTGCCAATAAACATGATTTGATTAGATTTTATTTGATTAAAGAACCGCTTTATACTATGTAAACAATACTTATTCCTTATTTTATTTATGTACAGATGAAGAAAGCAAAAACAAACTACAGTAGACCCCCTCTTAACCGACCTCGTATTAACCGATAATTGGATTATCCGCCTTTGATCATAAAATAATACAGTTTGTTTTAACCGACCTTGCTTTGAGAGCAGTTCGGTTTAACCGCCGCTATCTAGGAACCTCAGCATTTCCGCTCCCACGCTGGGCGATGAGAACTGAACCATACGCTTATCTCCACAGGATATGACTAAGAATAAGTTATTTTGTATTAATAAAAAATAAAATATAGCATATTGTCAGTTTGTCACCATTGTTCGTAGCGCGAGCACATCTGATCTGTTTTGTTAACTGTGCGGCAAATTTATAACATCGTAAAGTGCGTTACGAGTTTGAGAACTGATTATCTTATTGCTGGAGTAAACAAAGAACGCAACTTTTAGGGAGGGCAGGGAAGGGGGGTTAACAACTCCAAGGTCAAGATAGTTTTTGTGCCTCGAGCCTCCAGTGAGAGGCTATAAATAAACATCCTGTCTTGTAACAAAATGGTTGCTTGTATCTTTAATTTCGACAAAAGGCTCTGTACTGTAATACGATGGATTTGGAAAACATCAATTAATAAATTACATAAATTATAATAAATGGAGAACGTTGAGATTATTGTTTATATCTGTATAGTTGTGGTTGGAATTAATCAAATGGTTGGAAAATGCCGACTTGTATTGCCATTCATGTAACAAAGGAAAATACATGGACACATTAGAAGAGTTTGAAATATATCGTGCTTCAAAAAACTGCCTGAAACATCTTAAATGAAAAACTCTCATTCGAGTCGAACATTGTTTACAATGCCGCCATACGCATCTTAGACCACAATAGATAACTGATGGTGGGGGGCTATCGCTTCCGGCACTTGACAGTCATGACCTACCTTCTAGCGGCGCCGTATGTGTCCGATGCCTATCACGCGTTTTTCGTATTTTTGTTTTGGCCAATTTATGTTTTAATGTTTTCGTGTACGTGTATGTGTTATTTTTGTGAACTTTAAACCTTTTGACGACCATTCCATGGATTAAATCAATGTACGTTTGACCTGAAGATGTGTTTTTACAACATGAAACGGCTGTAGTCAATTAACTACAAACCAGGATCACTTGACGGATACAGGTAATTTAAACCTTTTATTGTAACAATCAGTGATCCAGAGGCTATACCATAAAAATGAAATTCAAAATAATGATTATATAATTCCAAATGAGTAGCACTTCATTATGTTACGATTTTAGGGATTGCCTGTTTTAACCGACCTTTTGAGCTATCCGACCTAGGTCCGGTCCCATTAGGGTCGGTTAAGAGGGGGTCTACTGTATGTAAATATTGAAAAACCTATGATTTTATTATTTTTTGCAGAAAAAACAATTGCACATAAATTTAAGCCACCTTGATGAAAATCACTTATTTACTTACTTGTGCTGGAGTCATTATTTCTACTCTTTTTTTAGTGGGGGGTCTCCATGAAGTTCCTAAAGATACTCTACTCTTCATTCTGCTCTGCACACGCTAAAAACAGAATCATACATTAACTTGTGCGATGTTTTGAACCATTTTAATTTACTTCTCGATAAAAAAATATATATTTGCATCACACTGACGGACACACAGTGTAGTCTTTCCTCCTCCGTTTCATTTCCCTTACTAAAGGATGGGGGTGTTGGATTAGGCTGATTGGAAGGATGACAGGAGGGCCTATCCATGTTTGTGGCCGGGCGGATACTTTGATCTCTGTAGTGTTGCATGTTTCTTGCTGTGTTTCCATTTTTGTTAGTTTCAGTGTTGTATATCAATTTGAAAATTGTAGAGCTGGTATAGTCTTATTTTTGTTTACGAGGGTGATTGATCTATAAATTTAAACATGTTTGTATATTTGGTAGCTTTTTGTACTTTAGCTGATTGTTTAGAGTGAGTTTTTCAGAATAGTGAGGGTATCAGGTAAAGTTATGGTGGGGGATAGGTTCTGTTTTAGGTGTTTGGCTACCATTGATGTAAGGTTGTTATGGTAACTTTTATTCTGTTCTTTAAATCGTTGAAAAAATGATCTGATGGTATGGATTATTTATTGATTGTCACAGGGTTGTAACCAATTACCACCTTAAAACAACCAATCAAAGCATTCACCCAGCCATAAACATGGAAAGGCATTACCCTCAACCATCCAATACTTCAAATTCCAACTGGCTGTCTGTTGGGGTGTTCTTCATTTGGCCAGACAGTGATACCAAAGAATATTGTTAAGATTTTGTGTAAATAAACAATCTGTAATTTTAATTTTATTTATATGAAGAAAGGAGACAACCTGAAGATGCCACACAAGCTGGTGAAATGTACATAAGGTAGATACAAAACTTCAGCTCAAGAACAAATGTAACAAAAGAGGTAATTAATACAATTAAAATTCTTTAGACTGGGATGACATAAACAATTTTACAGGGTGGAAAAAAGTCCAGGGACTTTTAAATATTTCAAAAAGTAATAAAGATAGAGATTCAAAATTTGGTACACAGTTACTGGGCATTAAAATCATTTTAACACATGATTCAGTGATACACTACCTCTTCATGGGGACGGCCTGATAAGTCAGAAGAATATTTTAAACATAAGCATAGGTTGATATGCACATCAAATTAAAGGTCTTCACTAGTAGAATATAATGCCTCAAATCTGAACTCAAACGGACAACTGAGTCCAAAATGGCAGCCTTACAAAGATTTCTTAAATCTGCCATTTTGAATCTTTGAAAGGCTGCCATTTTTGTCTGCCAGGCTGCAAGGCTGCCATACTCAGTTGTTCTTTTGAGCTAAAATTTGATGCACCATATTCAACTATTAAATACATTTAATTTGATGTGCATATACCTATTCATACGTTTAGGGTCTATGATTTTCTTTCAACTTCTAGCTGGGTGCCCCCCTCATAATAGCTCAGGGTAGGCCTATTACGTAAATATGGGAAAAATTCACAAAAATGGCTGCCATTTTAAAAAGAATTGAGGTGATTGAGTGCTGTTTTCACCAGAATGTTGCTTTCTAAAAATATGTAATAAGATATATAGGTTGGCATAAGGAAATTTTTAGATTCGTACCCGTGACCTCCATTTCTGGAACACCCTGTGCTTGGATCATGTTCAAAGTATTTTAAACGGATTTTTCGTTAATGTTTTAGGGGAGAATAATTTTATTTTGCGTTTCTTAGGTGAAAATGTACTCCTGTAAAGGTATGTGTACGGGTCCACCTCACCCTGTATAGGAAATTCGCTAAAACAAAGCTATATGTTTTGAAACTATGACCTGGCTGTAAATTTCAACTAGGGTGTCCACCCAAATACCCTGAGAAACCGAGAATGGTTGGTGAATTTTTCTGACCAAGGAAAAAACTATGAATGTGTCAGGAAATTTTGAATAGTCACAATTAGCCTATGGCCGAATGACCATCCATTAATCGTGTTTTATCAGTTCTCAGAGAAGAAGAACACAATCATAGGAGATCACCACGTATATCGCTGTGTTTGAAGAGCAATGTATGGACATTTACAGTCATAAAAATGTTTTTTATTTTTATTTTCTGAAGGAGTTTGACTACATTTCCTGTTAATTCCAAACAATTTGGTAATCCGATCAGGGTGTGGTCCTAATAACAGGACTCTAGTGTAATAGTCAATTAAACTCACGTGATCTAAAAGTTCAGAATCCTCTTGTTTCTTTGTTAAGCAGTTTGAGCCATTGGCTACAGGAACAACTGCGGTAGAATCATTTTCCACATCAGAATTGTCAGACACATCACTAGGGAATGTAGGGGAAGCAAAGCCAGAGCTCCGAGCTGGTGAGGGAGAGCTTTCTACCTTTTCCACTTTACTTTTCTTCGGTGCAGGACTATGTTCCACATTTGAGTCATCTTCGGAGTCAATTACAATGACGGATCCTGATTCACTAATTATTTGTACATCATCATCACTTGAACTTTCAGATTCAGAAACTGAAAAACACAAAACAAAGTAGGCTTAATTACATTTGTGTAATAGTCTGAATTGGAAAAAAAACATATGTGTATTTGAATTAGGACAAGGCAGAAGAAATTTATGGAATATGAATCTTAGTGTCAAGGTGAATAGCTTAAATGAATTACATTCAGAGTGTATTGCAACCACATCAACAAACTTTGTAACATTTTTTAGGATTTTTTGAGAGGATAGCAGGCTTACCTGAATGGGAAAGAGTCCAAACTGGCACAGGAAACACAAAACAAAACTTACTCATGCTACACCCTTAAACTTTGTAACATTGTTCAGCATGTCAAAAAAAAAGTAAAACAACATGTGTCCTATCTCATTCCGTTTTCTATCTATCTGTCTGTATGTGTTTTTTACAAAAACATTCCTAACTCTTTTTAACGGTTTGGGCTACAGCATTGAAATTCTGCAAACAAGTTTATCTTATTGGCCCCTACATAAGTGCAAAATATGAATGAAACCCCTTGAACCGTTTGAAAATGGCGGCCTTTAAAAATATTTTATACCAAGTTTCATACGATATTTTAAGCTTAGTTTGGACAAAGAATAACTGATATAGGCCTACAATGTTTTTTCTTGCTATGCCTTCAGATTTCTCCATTTAAACAATGTTAAATTGATAAAACTACTTTTTAACATTGTATTAATGGAGAAAACTGTAGGTAAGGCAAGTAAAAGATTTATTTCTAACTTATTCTTTGTCCAAACTAAGCTTATAAGATATAGTTGTAATCCGTATAAAAGTTACTCCATTTTACACATCTTCCAGACCTACTACCTACAAAAGTAAAGTACATAACCACAATTATAAGTAAATACCTCCACTGCAACAATCCTGCAGACTTAGCAAATTCCTATTTGCCTGGATTAGATTTGTACTGAGGCCTTAATATTTCCTTAAATGTATCACATTCATTTCCTATCTAAATAACATGATGTTAAACGTGTAGGCCTACTTAGGTTTTATTCCACAGGAAAGGTAAAAGGCGTATTTTTTTGTTAAATGTTAATAGCTTAAGATGAAATAAGGAACTTTGCTAAATTTGACCAGATGAGTGGTATTTAAAAACACACTCCATGTATCCACTTTATTTTAGGATGGTCTTCCCTATCAATTGTTACAAAGAAAAGTGTACTCTCTACAAAGATAAGATTAGAATCTCATCCAGCCTACAGCACTGTTCTCTTTCTAGGTAAAATACCTTAGACCCCTCGGCAGTCAGTGAACACAAAACTAACTACAGTAGACTCCCTCTTATCCGGACAGCTTTTAACCGGACTACACTCGGCGGAAATGACATCTCTTTAACCGGACAATTTTTATCAGCACATCGGTTTAACCTGACTAGATCGGCAGGAAGTGGGCAGTACTGAAACGACTGTTCTCGTGGGAAATATTTGAGACCAGTGATCACGTGTCTAAATACAATGCTCTCCTAAATTTAAGTCAAATATCACAGTAAACAGTCCGTTTTAACGAGTTTTTGGGGACGTCGGTTTAACCGGAAAACCCGTTATCCGGACTGGCCTCGGTCCCAAAGAGCGGGGCTATAGAATAAAGGGGCTGGCTCACGTCTTTGATGTAGCACTTGCCGACACGGCCCCGCTACCCCACCTCCTGTGACGTCACCGGGCTGACAGTCACGCCTGTTTCCATTACGCGGCCAGCGAAATTCTCACTCTTTTACATGCTCCCCTACCGTTGTACGAACATATTTCTCATGATACTTATATTGTTTAATTCTGCATTAACTGTAGAATCCAAATATCCAAACAGTTTTTAGGTTACCACAAGTAAATTGGTTTTATAACAACAAACGTAGAGAAACTACAATAATGAAACTTGAAAAAGTCACTAAGCGAGGAACATTTTAATTTTCGGGTTAGGCACAAACTTTCAGCAAGAAAACTGTAGTCAATCAGTTCTTCCATAGTAATTACTTAACAACTCTTAAATACCCCTAACAGTTCATTAATAAATCGTCTCAAAAGACAATTGTTACAACTGAGCGCTGGCGGGTAATTTTGCCGCTCGCCTCACAAATTTGAGGTTGTTGTTATGGCAACACTGCATCAAATACGCGTGAAATCAACTTCGCTCTTTCATTGTTATTCGTGTCTTCTGTTTGTTTCTGAAGAAGATAGAAGAAAAATGATCAGAAGATGAGTAAGTGGCTAAAATCAGCGAAATAGGATACAACTATTATAATAAAAATACTATCGCATTAAAACACTCTTTTAGGTACTTATTTTCTACGAATAAACACTTTGTTCTACAGACAATATAAAATTACCTAAACCATTACACATTCCTAAAAGATACCCAACCAAGTGTATTAGAATATATGACCAGGGGTACCGGAATATCAAACAAGATAAATAACATTCTAAGCCTTAAGTCTACACAATTCTTAAAATTCAGTTTAAGCACTAATTACTTGTTTCACTAATAGAAACAGTGCAATTGTTTTATCACGATCATAACAATTTTTTACGATCTTGTTATAAACAGCACGATGCGGACATGTGCGGAACGATGTAATATGATTGCCAAGTTTATAAAGCCTAACTTCCTGATAAGGTTTTATGTTGGTTTCATCGAGAATTTTCAGGCTAATTATTGAAGTAGAACTATTAATGAATATTTTTCTGGCTCAAAGTTTGTTCCTATCCCAAAACTAAAAAAAATCCCCGCTTAGTAACTTTTTGTAGTTCAAAAGTTTGTAATCCTCATAATTTTCCCCTTTAAAAAAACATATTATTGATCATAGCTAAAATATTTTTGGACCATCAGATTCTGTAGTTAATGCAGATTACATCGATATAAGTTTCATACGGACAATTTAATTGTGTACATTTAAGGAAGTGTTTAAATGAGCGGTTCGTATATGTGCCGCACGCTAGCTACACCCGTAGAGGCAGCCCGGTGACGTCACAGCCACACGGCAGTGGGACCACTTTGCTAGTCGACGTGAGCCAGCCCCTGTATTCTATAGCCCCGCCCAAAGAGTCCGGATAAGAGGGAGTCTACTGTATGAGGCTAACAACTCTTGATGCCAGTAAACCTAGGACTGTAGCAGACTACTTCTGTCACCTAGTCAAGGTTTTTAGATATTTTCATTGAATTATGCTTGGGTTTCAAATTGCTGTTCAAAAGCCTACATTTGTTTGGGTAGTGATATCCACATTTTCAGCACTTAAAGGGTTCCAAGTATGACTAATGGGATTAAATTGAATACAGTATTTATCTAATATTAAGATCTCAAAAAGAACTTTAGCATCAGTTAAAGCTTAACTTATTTGAATTAAATCCTAGCTTAAAATCGGATCTTAGCTGTTTGCTACAGATAAATACTTAGCTTATGACAATTGGTAAACAATAAGTTAGATGGAACCGTTAACCAAATTTGATATTTTGTCTACATTGGGTACAGTATGTTTATTTAATCTCAAAATGGTATTAGGCCTATACATTTTAATACAATCCATCAAGATAATTGTCAGCAAAGATGTGAATATCACTTATCGTAAAAATATTTAATTTAGGATATTGAACCATTGTCAGACACAAGCACAACTAACAGCAATATACAGAGGGGTGCAAAAGTAGGTATACAGTACAAACAGACAAACAGTTTGAACACACAGGTAAGTGAGTGTTTTTTCAAGTACAAAATCTTTAAGAGTTAATTTAGGTGTCTTAATGCTATTCAAATAAATTTGGAAATTTCGCTTTTTATATTATGAGTGAATATATTTTTCTATAATATTTCATTACTGTATACCTACTTTTGCACCCCTCTGTATATACGTATCAATTATACTCCACTGCCTACTTTAACATTGAACTGCTGTTGATACATGGCTTTTAGAGACAATTAGAATATTCAAGTTCAATTTAAATTGTTCTAGTGATAAACAATAAAGAAACTGAATTACCTGAATGAGCTGGCTTCTTTTTACTGTTCTCAGAATTCTTATCCCTTTTTTCTCTGCGTTCCTTATCTTTCGATGATCGGTCTTTATTGGAACTCCTCCTATCATTACCCTCTTTTCTATGCCTATTTTCATCCTTGTATTTAGAGTTTTCTTTACCATCACCCTGTTTATGATCTGATTTATGAGAGTCTCGGTTTTTCTTACTACTACTGTGACTCTCATGACTATGTGTTCTTTTTCTACTGGATTCTTGAGATTTTGAAGATTTTGAGGAAGTAGACCGCTGATCTGATTCTTTCTTGTGACTTTTAGAGGAACCATCCTTATGGTCCGTATCTTTTGACTTACTTGATCCAGATTCTCTTTCAGAATCTTTTCTTCTGGACTTGCTGCTACTTGAACTACTCCTATGTTCAGAATCTTTTTTAGAAGATTTATCAGAGCTATGTTCTTTCTTTGATCGTTTCTCTGAACTTGATAATTTATTGGAGTCGCTCAGGAGCAATTTATCAAACGCTTTGTCACTTTCTGACTCTTTTTTGTTTGATTTTGACGTAGACTTCAATGACTCAGGATCGTTTTTACTCTTTTTCCTTTCTTTGTCACTTTTATGGTTTTCGGTTGATTTTCTTCTGTGCTCACTGTTTACCTTATTTTCATCTTTATTGCATGGCAATGTTTTTGAGCTTGATGTTGTTTGCTTTGATTTATCAACAGAGTTTGAGGGGTTATTTGCATTTTTAGTTTTAGTATCAGAGTGGCTAGATTTTGTTTTGTGTTCAGCGTCCTTATGTTTTTTTATCTCATGCACACTTCCATTGTCTGAATCTAATGATCTTATGTTGTTTTTCTCTGAACAGCTTTGACAATGTGTTGGAAAACCGTTGCTTAACTTTTCAGTTGATAAATTGGATGTTTGATATAAGTGTTCTTTTTTCTCTTCGTCCTGAGAACAAATTTCACTGGTGTGGGCTTCATCGAGGAGACTTTTAATTGACACAGGCTTTTCATACTGTCTAAGTATCTCATCTAAGAAGTTTAATTCACTAGACACTTGGTCAAAATCAATTTCCCCTTCACTCTCTTCATTGTCTTGTTGGGGAGCATCATTATTGTTGGTTGCTCCATTTGACAATTGGTCAGGATGGTTACATATTTTGGTAGCTCTGTACACAGAACTAGCATCACTGGCAGAGTAAACTTTCTTTAAACTAGGTTCAGTCTTGAGAGCTTCAGGAATGTATTCGACCTTGGGTTTCTTTATTCCTCTTACATCATACTCAAGCCTCCGCTTCTGTGAGGAAGATGACAGAATAACACTGGGGGCTGTGTTGATAGGGATGTGGCGTTTTTTCAACTCAACTATTGGAGTGGGTTTGTAGCTGACGCTGGTACTTGCAGACTGCCAAGAGATGTCTGCACTGTCCCTCGATGCCTCCTCAAATGCCTGAGTTGACTGGTCTACATCCTGTTGTTGGCTATCCTCATCAAATTTGTCTGCAAAACATTGATATTTATGTTACAAAACCTTGGAGACAATATTTGTACAAGAAAACAATACAGCTCACAATGGAACTGAATAGATTTTTACTTCGAAGATTAAATACTTAGGCTACCTTTGAATATTAGCCTAGGTTGAAATTGTATCAGTTTAAACTTACCAATTGGTTAGCTTATAAACAACAACTGAAAAGAAACAAATAAATTTGGTCGCAAAGAGTGTACTTGATAAAAACTTTTAAAATATTATGCTTATTAGGCCTATCACATCCCAGCATTCAAGTAGGTCTAGGCAATTTTTACAAAAGTTGCACCTCATAGAAAAATTCACACTTCAACAAGTTCTTAATTAGCCTATATATTAATTACTAAAACTGAAATTATTGTGATTAGGGCTAAGTACTACCTATATATATATATAGGCCTATATATGATTGAATACATTATTAATAACTAGTGCCCTTTTAACACGTTAGCTGCGGCCCATCAAATGACAGGCGTAGCCCCAGTGCGGCGCATCCCGCAGCGTCGAACGAACCCGATTGCCGGGTGATTGGCTTTCATATTTCGGTATGACGAATAGCAAATAACGTGCAGTGATGTTGATTCTTATTTATCAAGTTTATTGATAAAATGAATTTAAAAGGGTACTAACTTAGTGTTTAATAATGCATTCAGCCAATCACTACTTATATCCTATAAAGAGTACTATAGCTTATTTGTATTTAATTTATTACCGATGCTGTCAGATTATGTTATAGTTTATGATAGTACTATCGCCCTATGATTGTTTGTTTTTTGCCATCAATTATTTAGCTTATCTTACAAATGGTTAATTTATTATTTTATTAGATTCTTTACATAACCTGACCCATCCTCACAATCCATGGCCAGGCCAGTTCGTTGGGCCAGGTTGGGCTACATATTATAGGCCTGACCAAGTCTCAAACCTGGCCAACTTCAAATTAACTGTAGGCCTAACTTAAGCCTACTTCTAGAACACATTGCGAGCAATGTCTCAACAAAATTGTAACCTTCAGTTACCTTGTTAATAAACAGCTTGCTCTAAACTAGTAAGTTATGTTTTCAATATTCTATTAAACTCATCTTAAAAATAATAATTCTATGTAACCTATAATTACCAATTCCTCTGAGATTCCGTATAGATCTTGTAAACCATCAGCAGAAAAACTAGTCAGTTTCCTAATTTTGAGGAAAATTCCGACACAAAGATTAAGTTAGCTTTATTTCAGCAAAAATTACGTTATTAATAAAATCCTATGCAAGATCAAACCTAAACATAACCTCCTAAGATGCTAAATGCTAAGAATTGACAGAATTGTATATAGTTTACCTTTCTTTGAGTGTCGAAAATGGCAGTGAGGTCGATCACAAGAGCCATTATTAAAATAAGGACAGTTTAATGATCTAAAATAGCCTTTTGAGGGTAGCATTTCATAATCATAACACTCTAAAATATAAAGAAATAGAACAATAATTTTTTAAATATCCAGGAGGCAAAATTGCAGTCCTTTATTACTCGTATTTTAAAAGCAACTACATTTTGATTTTAATAATTGTATTTGCCGGTTTAGTTAACATTCAGACGAGTCATAACAAACATTAAGTCTTTTTCCTTCAAAATATCTCAGCTCAGCAATAAACATTACATTTCACCAATACACCATCTTCTTTCTAGTTTTCTGCTTGAGTAGGGGTTTTTCGGTAAGAACACTTCTGCTAACAATGTAGCCAACAGCTTTTACTTAAATTAAAGTAAAAATTCAAAACAAATCCTCTCTTTATAAGCAATAATGTATAGTATGTAAAGTAATAAAAGTGTATAGTTTCTCTGTTTGAAATTCGTGATCCAGTCCGTATTAAAAACTCATGTTTATAAAATCTTCATCCTATATCCTATAGCAAAGGATTTAATTAATTTTCAGCGATAAATTGATTAATCATGTTATATTTACTTTATACTTTACAATGAAATGGCGACCATACAAAGTAGGTATTTTAAGCCAAGTATGAATGGAGATGAGTGTAGGATGAGTGGCGCGATCTTGTAGTCTTGTTAGTGACTAAGGCCGACTTATACTTTAGACTCAGCTGTTAATTAATAGCCCATACAGCTAATGGCAACTAAGTAACCTACAGTTTATAGTGGAATCTGAACCTTATTTTTGCCTTGGTATATACGAATCGGTCTAATTTTTCAGGATAGTACTGCGGATAGTCGTAGTTCTCACTTGTGCGGACGTTGAATTGAATTGAATTGAATAATTGACGTGGACGTTAATCCACACCAGGAGTATCGCATCCACAGTGCATGCATATAACCATAGATAAAACATACTCCCTTAGTAGATTTCCCATCCTTATGGAACAGCTGAAGCCAATTTTATTGTTAGTTCTGTACGGTTTTCTGTAGAAGTCGTGTTTTGTTTACAATTTGTTTCCCGTTATTACAGCCATTTAAAACCTCGTTTAACCAAATAATACGGTCTAATCGTAAACAATAACTTGTCCCTTAGTTATATAACCAAACAGTAAAGCACAAATCAAGAAATTAACCCTAAAATAATAGAAACAAAGTTTCGTCGACACTAGCGCCTTTGTGTCACGTACATGAACTAGACACGAAAAACGTGCTTCAAAATTTACAATGGGATGAGAAGTCTACTTGTGTTGGTTAGTCTATGATATAACTACCTACAATTCGTAACCTCCTAGTAGCTGGATTACAGGACGACGCCAACCGTCCCAGTTATTATTTATAGTTAGCATATAAATAAAATTTTAAAATAAAAACAACACCAATATTAAATTAATTTTTAATTTCATAAGGCCTTTCGCCATCCATAGCTATGCTGGCATCATCAGACATCAGTGAAAGGCCTCATACAATTAAAAATTTATTTAATGTCGATGATGCTTTTATTTTAAAATTTTATACAACCTAATATTACCAGTTATTCTTTAACATGTTGCATATATTTATTTTTTTGAGTTAATGCCAGTGGTGGGGAAAATCACAAAAGTTGTTGAGGTAACACGGTTCCAAACCCCACGATTGCTGCATTGCGAGTAAAAACCATTGGTCACGACACTATACTATGCACTTTGTATCATGGTGTGTGTGGTATTCTTGCAACGTGCAACTACAAGAAGGTTAATATAGCTTAAAATATTAAATTGCATTACTAGAACCGCAAGTGGCATTTTCCGGGGCCTGCTCAAGTACCTATCATATGAGTAATGCAAAGCCGAAATCAGAAACACCAAATTTCACGAACGAGGTGAAGCCGACCATATGAAATTTAAAATAATTGGAGGAAGTGCCGGAAAATCACTGTTGGTACAAACCAAGGTATGAACGACACTTTTCATCACGAAGCAAAATCACTCACATACATAATAACACATCTCAGTAAAATAAAAACAAATATATTTCTTAATTAACAATATCTTTAGTACTTTAGTATAAAAATAATATCTCCGGCACATCCAACATGTCTAGAGACTAAGTGAATTTCCATTTGCTTTGCCCGATCAGATTTTCACTAAACTATGTCCTTAACATGTCAGATTTATTCCCTATTTGAATAAGATTAGATTTAGTCAGTGTAGGTTTGCTGCTACGAGGAATATATTATAAACTGTGTTTTAGCAAAATGAAAAATTTTGTTGCATGACACAAATTAATTGATCAAAGTTAAACAAAATAAATCCATAAACAAGCAAACTACAACAGTTTATTTATTCTCCATAAAATTAACATAGGGCAACGTGTGGCAGGCTAAAAATCTTAAAATATTTTTTGAGAATTTAATATTGAAAAGTGAACTATTGGTACGACTACCGGTCAAATTCAAGCCCAGAAGTTCAAGGACCACCATAGAAGTTCCTAACGTGACCCCCTGAAAACGTTTTGCAGGGTAGTTTTAAAAATTATATATATATAAATTATATACAGCCGCTTGGGTAACTCACTCACTCTGGGGATACAAATGTTTACCAACTTCTAGATTAGCTAGAGATCAGAAATTTGGTACGACAATTGGTCCCATCCTATTAGGTGCATTTATTTTTATTTTAACCCACCCCCTTATTTTAGAACCCTCCCCCCCCCCCGATGTTATTCTTAGGGGAAATAACATTGGAAGTTGCCGGACTTTGGTATGCTCATCTATCTGAACCATTTTGAAACGTGCTTAAGACTTGAAATTTGGCAGCATTGTAGTAAGTCATCCTAAATTAACGGTAAAATTTCAAAAGTCACATTTTTATATTTTAACTCTCCCAAAAATCTAAAATGATGGAAATCTAAAAACGACAAAACACGTTTTTTTAAACGGCTATAACTAAAAAATGGGTCGAAAACTACAATGTTTGCAGTGTCTGTAGATCAAAAATCCCAGTAAGTCAAATAATACAGTCCGTGCTAAAAACGTGGTCCATGTTAAAACGATTGACACATTGGGAATTTGATTAATGCAACAGCAGTTTTAATATAACGAAATACGGTAAAATACAAGTTCAGTTTCGCTGAGTCAACAGTGGCGGAAGATCAAAAGCAATTAAAAGTGAACGTCGATTCAGTGTAAAGTAGACCTCCTGCAACGCTTACTACACAAACAAAACTCGCTTTTAGTTACCTCGTGTTTTGTCATAATTAGAATAGAGCTAAAATTATCATATTTGGTACATAGCTTATCTATTAATGCTTCTTGCCAACTGTTTGGTCAACAATGTAAATAGGTATAGTTTATGTAATGAAAACCCTTTCGTCAAAATTTGTGGCATGGACACGCAAGGACGATCTGAAAATTTCTGGTTATTATATACGTTTGTAAAAGGAGATCCATTTAATTTTAGAACTATTTTATGAGTTACAATGTAGTCTACACATAAACTGTGTAAATGTATTACGCCTCGGAAGGGTTGAAACCTGTCCAAACTATCATATATATTATTAAAACGTAAATGGGGGTTTTCACGATTCTGAATCAACCAGTAGACGGATTTGCATTATTTTTGTGTTGAAAGAAAGATAATTTTGAGAACTAGGGAATGTCAAAGCCATAATTTAAAATTAGGGTCCCAGTTTTTTAGAAATTAAATTTTAGTTTTTAAAAAGTCTAGCAGCCGATGCTAACCTTCTCCAATAGTAAATGCTTCTAGCTAGCTTTTAGTACAATATAATTTGCTTAACATAACAGCTGTAACATTCAGCATTTGTGAGACAAATTCAGCATTTAGAACAAAATTCAAATACCTACATACTTATGGTTGACTTATTTATACTATGTGTAATGCTGACCATTGATACATTCAATTCTTCGGTACGAGGATGGCAGATTAATTAAATATGCATAGTAAAATACAGTAGTAGGATGTTCAAATTATGTTTTAAAGCATTCTTTGTAATCATCGATTTGTTTTAGTCCAATATAATTTGTTTTAACTAACAGCTGGTTGAATGTACTATGTATACTTATAAAAGGCAAAGTCCTCACTGACTCACTGACAAACTCACTCTCACTCACTCATCAACACTAATTCTCCCACTTCCCATTTACCTAGGAGGCTGAAATTCGATACACCGATTCTTTGGGCATTAAATAGGAAAACTAAGTAGTTTTTATTATGATCGGGCATTCGGGCTCCGCCCCAGTGGCTCTGGATTTTCCCATATTAACCTTATGATTTTTCATATTTAAAAGGAATTAATGAATCTGAACAGCTGTGTCAATTAAACAATTTATGACAACAGCTAATTTGCAACCAAAAGGTGAGTGAGCGTAGCGAACGACCTTCAACCTGGAGGCGAGTTAGCGTAGTGAACGAGCTAACCCTAAGGCAAGTGAGCGCAGCGAACGAGCTCCAACCTAAAGGTGAGTGAGCGTAGCGAACGAACTTCAACCAGGAAGTGATTGAGCCATGCGAACGAGCTCATCTTGAAAATTAAAACGGCACAACGTACAAGGATGAAATAAATTTATTTCCCGCTAAATCAACCCCAAGGAATAACGTAAAAATATTTTTAACTTTTTCCCAATACAGGGTGTGCCAACAACTGAGGGTCACCAGTTCGAATCTCAGAATTTTCAAATGTAAACATATGTCATGTTATACATCATTATAAAGGTATTTGATAGGTAGACAAACATTTTGGCAAGAACAGAAATAAGTTATCTTTTTCCGTTTCAAAATGGCGGCAGTTTTTTGAAAAAAATCTATATTTTTTTAATACTCTGTGTTCCCTATACCAATGCATTTATCCCTTCTCCAAGTTGAATTTTCTTACTCGTTATGAAATTAGCTTTACTTTGATATGCTACAAGTAACGGTTTTTTGAAATTATAAAAATAAAAAATTATTTTGAAATTATTTTTGAAAACTTGCAAATGCTCATTTTTCAAAAATTTCAAATAGCAACATATGTCAAGTGGCACATCATTTTATAGGGTTTGTAATTCCTAACAACTTTGTATTTTACACTTACTTCGTATCTCTTTTAGTTTTTGCGTAAATAACAAAAAACCTAATTTTCCTATATCAAATGCATGTTATTTGGGTTTAACACTAAAGGCCCAATTTAAACCACGTCAAACCCAAATAACATGCATTTGATATAGGAAAATTAGGTTTTTTGTTATTTACGC